AAAGAAGATATGCTGTAATGGAGCCTATGGGGCAAATGCTTCTATGTTAATGAGGTAATGTATGTTTCACCCACGTGATCCCAGGTGTGCTGTGCATGTGTGCACACCTGTGGAGGGGGAAGGATGACAAAATGAAACTGGCTTCAGGGAGACTGGGCCAACCAAAGAGCTCTCAGTGTCAGATTTGTCCAGAAGAATAAGTAAGATTATTTTTTTTTTCCAGAAGAAGACAATGATGACAGGTTCTCATTTTAAAAATACAATGTGGGGGCACCTGGGTGGCTCAGTGGGTTAAAGCCTCTGCCTTTGGCTCAGGTCATGGTCCCAGGGTCCTGGGATAGAGCCCCGCGTCTGGCTCTCTGCTCAGCGAGGAGTCTGCTTCCCCCCCCCCACCCCCCCGCTCTCTCTGCCTGCCTGTCTGCCTACTTGTGATCTCTGTCTGTCAAATAAGTAAATAAAATCTTAAAAAAAATACAATGTGAAGCAGTGATTTTCAAAATTATATTATACTGAATCAAAAACAAATTGATCAGGGAAACAGAATTGTGCTTCTAGAAATAGATGTAGATAATAGTAACAAATCAATATAAGACAAATTAGCCCATGTATAGAACACATTTATCGGAAAGTATAGTATTGTTTTATAAAAGTGAGAAAATTATTATGTCAATCTGGAGAAGAATTAGCCTAACTTCCATCAAGCACCATTATAAACTCCAGGTAGGTCAAGATAGATGAAAACATTTATGGTGGATGCTTTCTTTTTCTTATTTCTTTTTTTCCTTAGGCATCGTTTTCTCTCTCCTCTGACACCCCACCATAATTTCCTACTGTAAAATTTCTTCTCCCTGAGTATAGGTAGTGTTAGTGGGAGGGTAAAGTTCTGTGACTATCTTGCATTTGGAAGCTGGAATGATTCACTCTCCCTCTCTCTACCCAGTGCAGACAGGGGATGGGCACTTGACCCAAGCTCGGCCAAGCCAGTGGTCACTCCTAGAATTTTGATGCATAAGCTGATGCCAGTACAAGAAAGAGCAGTGGTTGGTCAGTGGCATCCAAACAGGCCATTCCAGCTGTAAGACAGCTGCTATCCTTCCAGCTTTGGTTTGGCAGAGCTCCTTGGTTCATTCTCAAGCACGCTCCTGCAGACACATATCAATAGTTTCCAATAGTTTGATTATATTAACCAGAGTGAGATGCTTTCTATATTCACAGAGAGACTCTAATTCCCGAGAAATAACTGAGGACGAAGAGAGTGTATGAGATGGCCTGTGGTGTCGTAGTTCATCTTGGAATATGTATCTCCTCCACAAGAAAAGAACTCTGGTAGATGGCCTGATGGTTTGCATTTCTTCCTCTTGCCTCCCGCTGTGGCAGGAGTTACTTCTTTATCTCATTGTTGTTGGCCATGTGACTTGGTTGACCAATAGAATGTAAGTGGGTATGGTAAGTAGTGCCATGTCTGAGCAGAAACTTTAACGATGAGTTGCCAGTTTTGTTTCAAAATAAATATTTTCTTGGGCACCTCGGTGGCTCAGCCGGTTAAGCACCTGTCTTCAGCTCAGGTCATGATCCCAGGGCCCTGGGATCCAGTCCCACATTGGATTCCTTGCTTAGTGGGGAGTCTGCTTCTCCCTCTAGCCCCCTGCTGGCTTCTGAGTGTGTGCTTGCTCTCTCTCTCTCTCTCTTGCAAAAATAAATAAACAAAAAATCTTAACAAAACCCGCCCCAAAATACATATTTTTTCTTTCATCTACTCCATTCCGTCTTGGCAATACTTGTCAAATCCACAATAATCTCATTCATTTACTTTAGTAGCCTTCTAACTCATTTCTGGCCTTTTAACTGTGTTTCTCTGGAAACCGTCCTTCATACAACTGTCAGTGATGGCAAATCTAACCCTGTAAAGCCACAGATTAAAGCCTTCCCTGGCTCCCTGTCCCCCATGTGGGATTTGAGAGCCATCAGGATTTATCTGTACATACCCTCTCAGCCTCATTCCTGGACAGTCCCAGCTTTATGCTTAGCCAAGTGGAATTGTCTAAAACATCTTGAACATTTCTCCACGCCTTTGACCATTCTGTTCCCTTCTTCTGTCCTCTCCCTCCTAATTCTGTCCAAATAACATCTGTTCAACTCTCAAGTAGATACGCTTCCAGAAAGCCCTCCCTGGAACTTCCTAGGCATGCACTTTCCCTCTGCTTCCTCAATGCACACACATCTGACACTCTCCACATCGACTTGAAATGATTTTTTCTGTAGCTTTCAGTCTAACAGACTGCCATTTCCTGGAGGACAGAAATGGTGTCTTATTCAGGTTTTAGTCCTCAAAATTTAGCATGATGCCTGGCACACAGTAGGTTTCCAAAACACATTCACAGAGGTGAAATAAACCAAGCAAGTGAACCATTATATAAGAAATCTGAGTTGTCTTAAATCCTACAGCTGGGATTCCTAAAAGCTAAGGGCATTTGAAAATGGTTCTTCTGGAAAGCAGTATAGCCAGGTGTAACAAAAACTACAAAAATGTTCTCCTTCCTTCACTTGGGATTTTCCTATTTGTGAATACTCCCCAAAGAAATAATCCAAATGGGTAAAATGTACACAGATGTTCCAGGCAACTCTAGTTATAATTGTGGGAAAAAAAAAAAAACCAAAACCACCAAACCCTGGAAGCTATCCAAGTGTCTAATAGGGAAATGACTAAGCAAACAATAGGATTATTACATAGCTATTAAAAATGACAGAGGTGAGGACTGTGTCAACATAGAGAAGTGTGTATCTGCAGAAATGTTAAGTGGGAAAAAGAACACAGACCAGCATTTAAACAATAGTGGTTAACGAGAAGTGTGTACATTAACAAACTTCGGAGGCCCGTATGGAAAAATGAAGATGGCTGGAGTTCACTGGATGTTTTTTTTTTTTCCCTGTGCATTCCATGAGTTGATGACAATAATAGTTGAGATATCATTGCAACATAATGTTCTGAAAGTCCTCTGGTGTATAGCGATCTAAGTAATCTACCAGTTTACATATTCCAAGAGAGAATTTCATGCTAAATTCTCATAAAATTATGAAAATAATGACATTTCTTTGAGAGAACAAAATACTTTAGTTTCTTTCTTTCTTTCTTTCTTTCTTTTTTTTTTAAGATTTTATTTGTTCAAGAGAGAGAGAGGAAGCATGAGCAGGGGGAGAGGCAGAAGGAGAAGGAGAAGCAGACTCCTCACTGAGCAGGGAGCCTGATGCAGGGCTCGATTCCAATACCCTGGGATCATGACCTGAGCCGAAGGCAGATGCTCAACTGACTGAGCCACCCAGGCGCCCCTGTTTAGTTTAATTCAACAAGCAATTCTGAGAGTTTCATTATGTTCTAGAGCACTTACATTCACAAGACATTAATGAAACACAAGGACAAAATTCCTCAGATGGATAGGAGTTATTCTTTTCACTTACTTTTATTTGAGTGACTGTACATATTAGGACCTATTAACAAAGGAAAGTTTGAGAGACCTCACAGTCATGAATAGTCTCCAAAGAGGTTCTATGTATAGTAACTTAGATATACTGATAAAGATTAAAAGGAAAAAGTCCTCATCATATAATTCTAAACTTGTGTTGCTTTACCCCTGTAGTGCACTGTGAATTAATATTTTATAAATCCTATGCTTAGTTTGTGAGTAGTAAAATACTGACATTGCGAGATACATTACATTGCAATTAAAAAAACCACAACTTTTTATAACTTGAGAAATGTTTCATTTTTATTTTTTAAAGTTTTTTTTTAAAGATTTTATTTATTTGACACAGAGAGAGGGTATACAAGCAGGGGGAGGGGCAGACAGAGGGAGAGGGAGAAACAGGATCCCTGCTAACCCTGGTTAAGCCCAATGCAGGGTCCTGGGATCATGACCTGAGCCAAAGGCAGATGCTTAACCAACTGAGCCACCCAGGCGCCCCTCAAGTGTCCATTCTTATAAATAATTCAAAGTATTATGTTGACCATTCTCCTATACTTTCTCTTTCTTCTTCATAGTACAGGTCTGTACTATGATTACTCGTGCTCCAAAGAAGATGATCCTTCTGTATCCCATTAAAATTCCTCATCCAAGAGATAAAAATTTAATCATAGTCATCTAAACCCCCAACACACAAGAAAATAGCAAGGAAAGCTGGAAACTGAAGAATAGTTTATGGGGCACCTGGGTTGCTCCGGTGGTTAAGGGTCTGCCTTTGGCTCAGGTCATGATCTCTGGGTCTTGGGATCAAGCCCCACATCCGGCTCCCTGCTCAGTGGGGAGTCTGTTTCTCCCGCTCCCTCTGCCCCTCCTCCTGTTCATGCTTGCTCTCTCCTTCAAATAAATAAATAAAATCTTTAAAAAAAAAAAAAGGACTATGGTTGTAAGTAGTAGCAAATGGTGTTGTGTTGATAAATACCAAGCATAGTTAAAAAGGTGGGGAATTTAATTGTGTTCCAGAAAGAAAAGGCTGTTAAGACCTTCTAGATGAACCAGAGAGTTGGGACAATGATTATTTAAGTGAAAAACCAACTTGCCCTTCCTCATTGGAATGTGCAAGAATGAGAAGGATGATGTATTTGAAGTTTCCCGGCTGAGCTCCAGACACTGATCTGAATGCCCCAGAAAGCAGCCAGGGATGCTATACGTGTTTTTCCCTCCTGAATTACCCAGATAATTGCCCTTCAGCCTATGTTCCACTAACCTGGGACTAAAATCTGTTCACTTAACTATTACATGGGCCACAACTGCCACTTCAAATGAAAACCCAGGAAGCCAAATCGCAGCTGCTGTTGAAAGTGTATAATTAGCTCCTTGTGCAGCTTGACCCCACTGATTTCTCTGACGTATTTGGCCTGCCATATGCCCTTTCTGAGACCTCCAGCATCTTCTCCACAGCTGGAGATGCCCGAAACTGCACGGAGCACTTCCTGTGGGTGTGGCCTTACATTCTTAAGGCTGCACGCTGAGTGGATCGCGTTTCAACCACGCAGCCTCATCATGCTTTTTAAAATACAACAGTGGACTATAAGTGGCTATATCAGACATAAGAGGGTTCCCTCCTTTCTTTTTCTTTTTAAAAAAATGATTTTGTAATGATGTCTTCTCAAGAAACACTGTAATTGGTCAGCCTAGGGTGCGTTTTTTGTCCTCCCATATAACGTCATTAGCTATTCTCAGGAGAGGAAAGGCAGGGTATGCCCCCTGGGAGAATGACAACACTTGTTTCAAGTTGGGGAAGAGCCTGTGGGTCTTTTCCTGCGTTTGGGGGAAAGCGAACACACAATGTTCGTTTCCTAAATACGGGATGTGCTGTGTGGCTGGCAGGTCATTTTCCACCATGTCACATCCTTCTGGTTGAAGGCAGCAGGGGCTAGGACAGGAAATGGCAAATTCTCAGAATGAGACAAGGCTTTCCCAGGGCAGTCATTGGTTCTCTGGGACTATAAAACATGCTCATCCAGAAACAGCCTCAGATTTTTCTTTCCTGGAGGTAGCCAGAAGTGAATGGTAAGTGGGGGAGGCAAGAGGGATTCTGTCTAAAAGACAGCCATTGGAATTGTAATCCTGGGGTTATATCCTTGGTCCACTACATATTTTCTGTGACGTTTCCTCATTTTGCTAAGCGGTGTCTTTGCCTGGGAATGTATCACTGGTGGGTGGGATAACCAGGGCATGCAAATAAAATTAAGACCAAGGAGTCAGGAGACCAAGATTCTAGAAGGTTCTGTGAAGAATCAGCTGCATCTAGAACATGTCTGTATTTCGATTTTCTCATCTTTCAGAGGAGAAAATGATTCTGCTCTGATACCTCACAGTATTGAAATGCTCTATTTCTATGGCTCATTTGCCACTTTTGAAAAGTTCCTAATAATGAGGAGTACAGTGGATATGAAGGTGGGACTCTCTAGCAACTAGGAAGGAGGTACCTTTACCCCAGAAACACAGTTCTCTTAGTCATCTTCAGTTGACTTCAACTTGGTACGAGGTAGCCCTCGGTGAGTTGTTAAACTAAAATGTTGGGCACTTTATTTTATTCAGCCATTATTCATTTTTAAAGAAAGATTTCATCATAAAGAAACACAGTGGTATTAATTTAATGCAATTTAGTTTTAATTGTGCACCCACCAAAGAGTGAGAATAGAAGAAACTGCCCAAAGGACATCTTAGGCTTGACTCTAAAGTCAGAGCCTGGAAAAATAACAAGCAGGAGAGTTGCTTCAGGGAACCATCTAACTTAGAAAGATTAGTTTCTTACATCCAAGAGACAGTATGATTTTTGAGTTTTTGAGGGGCTTGTCTTTTTCTCTCATCAGAGGGGAAAAAAAAGGTCTTGCCAAACTCGTAGGATCCAAGTCTTCATGTAAGGAAAGGGCTTTGTGAGCTGGTACAACCCAGCACCTGCAAAGTGCGATCTTTCCAGCAGAGCAGAGGCCTCAGCGTAGGAGTAGATTTCCAGAGCCACCACTCCCTCCTCCCTGAGCTTATGGAACAGTTAATCAAGTGCACCCTTAACGCTCCCCGGGAGAGAAGCGGACCAGAGCCCCCCTCCCGCTTGTATGTGCGTCTTAAGGTTCTGAGAACTTGTGTAGCTCCTTCCAGATTCCAGAACTCTGTCTCTGCGAGCTCGACACGCAGGCCTCGCCGGGTGGGGGCCTGTTTGTTTCCCCCCGGCACCGCCGGGGCTGTCGTGTATAACCCGGGCGTGCGGGAGGCGCGAGCGCGGCGCGGGCGGGCACGGAGGCTCCGGACTCTAACCGCGCGTCTGTGTCCCCGCAGGGCATGGAGCGGCCTGCGGCCCGGGAGCTGCAGGGCGCCGACGCGCTGCGCCGCTTCCAGGGGCTGCTGCTGGACCGCCGCGGCCGGCTGCACGGGCAGGTGCTGCGCCTGCGCGAGGTGGCCCGGCGCCTCGAGCGCCTCCGCCGGCGCTCCCTGGCGGCCAACGTGGCTGGCAGCTCGCTGAGCGCCGCGGGCGCCGTGGCCGCCATCGTGGGGCTCTCGCTCAGCCCGGTCACCCTGGGCGTGTCGCTGGTGGCGTCGGCCGTGGGGTTGGGGGTGGCGACCGCCGGAGGGGCCGTCACCATCACGTCCGACCTCGCCCTGATCTTCTGCAATTCCCGGGAGCTGCGCAGGGTGCAGGAGATCGCCGCCGCCTGCCAGGACCAGATGCGCGAGATCCTGAGCTGCCTCGAGTTCTTCTGCCGCTGCCAGGGCCGCGGGGACCGCCAGCTGCTGCAGTGCGGCCGGAACGCCTCCATCGCCCTGTACAACTCTGTCTACTGCGTCGTCTTCTTCGGCTCACGTGGCTTCCTTATCCCCAGGCGGGCGGAAGGGGCCACCAGGGTGAGCCAGGCCGTGCTGAAGGCCAAGATTCAGAAACTGGCGGAGAGCCTGGAGTCCTGCACCGGGGCCCTGGACGAACTCAGCGAGCAGCTGGAGTCCAGAGTCCAGCTCTGCACGAAGGGCGGCCGTGGCCGCGACCTCAAGATCTCTGCTGACCAGTCCGCAGCGCTGTTTTTCTGAGAACATCCTTTCCCTTCATGACCGAGGCCAGAAACCATCCCCATGGGATGCTCCAGATTTGTAGCTCCCTCAGGAAAACAACACCAAGTTGGATGAGGAGCGGAATGCAAAGGATGAGAAAGACTGTTCTTGAAACTGGGGGGAAGGAGGGAGTGCTCAGAGCCCTTCTTTTCCCGTCACCGTGGCATCCTGCCTGGGGTTGTGTGCTAGGGACTTTTTACTTGCCTAATCCTATGGGCTATGTGGACTGAAAACTCTTGTTCCTTTATCAAAACCGTTCAGTTGCCACACTGGTGAGCGCCCCTGTATTAAAGTTGACTCGGGGTCCTTGCCCCAGCCCTGGTGGTTTGAGCAAAGGTTGGGGAGGCTGGGTGTGAGGCCACCCTCTGGGGCCTCTCCAAGCCCCACTAGGCTCTGAGGTCCTCAAAATGAGGAGGAGACACTAGCTTTTAAAACTTCTCTTCCAGAGTTTCTGAGTATAAACTCCAAGTCCAGAACAAATCAGGTCCCTCTGAACTGTGTAGCAGGGTTCAGGACCCAAAAGGGGCCTCTCCCATTCACACACTCTTCCTTCCACCCTCTGGGTGCCTGCTCTCAAATCCAGCCTGGGGCAGAGTGGGTATTTCTGAAGGGCTTCATAGCCAGACCTCCGGATATTCTGGGAGGGAAACCCAAGTAAACGGTCATCTGAATCCCACCCCCTTGCAACAAGCCGCTGAGGCCAAGGGCGATGAAGTGATGCACAACCTTCCTTACCCGCATCCTAGTGCACAGAAGAGAGCAGTGGCTTTGAGTTAGTCCTGGGTTTATTATAGGCTCTGTCACTACTGTGGGACCTTGGCCACTTAATTTCTCTGAGACTTGGCTTGGTAGAAACTTGGTGGAAAGGCAACTTCTTGGACTCAACAGTCGACTTAAGGAATCAGAAACTCTGGAGGTGGGGCCCAGCAGCCTGTGTTTAAAACAAGCCCACAGGGGAATCCTGACATCCACTAAGTTTTGAAGAGCACTGCAACAGATGTTGTTGGTTTCTGATCCCCTCGTGGGCGTTCATGAAGTCTCACGGCCTCTCCAGGGGCTCCATGGTCTTCAGAGTCATTCACATAAGGTCAAGGACAGACAGGGTCCCAAAAGTGAAAGAAAGAATATGTGCAGGATCTGTCAGGGCGTCCTCGGGCAATTTCCCACCCTGCGAAGTAAGGGATATAACAAAATAACCCTCTAGAGGGCAGTGTTGCCCACTCATTGTAGGAACTGGTACACAAAGGACTGTGAACTTAATGCAAATTGACCTTTGTTACCTTCTCTGAAGATTGCTGGGCCTTTTTTTTTTTTTAATTTATTTTAGGCTTGTTATTTAATTGCTGTTTATTATTTGCATTTAAATGTATTTAATCACCATGCCACGTTTAGAAAATAATAGGAATAACATGTTTCTGATCGGGAGGCTGTGGAGGCTCTTTTCAGGAGATGACGCCGAGTTTTGCCTTCCTAAGGTGGGGCATGACTTGGAAATAGCATTGCTCTCCTTGAGTAAGTCTCTCTCCAGGAGAGGGGGAATTTTATTTCCTAGTGATCTGAGTGATCCTTTTAGGTAAATGTGGGAAGCTCTGAATAGAGAGACCACGGACGAATTTAGGCTTCCCAATGGAGGTTTGACTTGCGGGCTATAGAAAGGATGCAAGCATATTTATCCTGAAGGTACTTTGCCAGCAAAAAACACTTGACCTGAAAGGGAACCTATTTTGTTCGGGGAGGAAAAGAACCCATTAGAGGCATGAGAGGGAGGAACTCAGACCAGGGCAGCCTCATGTCTTGTGACATTATGTCTTGTGACATTATGTCTTGTGGGTGATAGGCAAATAGCTTATGTGGTGATGTGTTATCCTTTAACTTTGGGAGCTGTAGGGAATCACAAGCTGTCTCTAAGAAAATACTTACCATTTCTTCAATTTCCATTCCTACAGCCATAATGTTGAAAATTTGTGGAAAAGTCTTTGGGAACCACACACCCAACACTTGGCTGTGTTATTTAGTTGTTTAACATGCTTTAAATTTACCCAGTCTACCCCCATGTTTCCCAGTGGTGGCAGAGTGTCTGAGGAACTATAATCTCAGCGCTGGGAAGAGAGCTTAGTGGTTCTGTGTTTTTATTTTTCCTATAAATTACAATTGATCCTTGTTTCTTTTGAAGCTGGCACTGGTTTCTTTTTAAACTGGTATCATTTCTTAGACCACCTTGTACGAATGCTAGCATTTTAGATCACCAGAATGTACTTTACATCGTCGTCTGCGGTGTGTCTCAAAGGCACAACTACTCCCTGACTCCATCTTTTATTAATGCTTAAGTTTGCATCATAGTCTTCCAGTGGGGGGGGTTGTTCCCTAGAAATTAACTGGACATTTCAGGAAGCAACAGGAGCAACAGCAGCAGCAAACTTTTCCTGTCATTAGGGTATTTTGGGGGATATCAAAGTCATAAATTCCCAAAGTTATCATTTCAGTGGCCCCCTTTACATCTAAGGAAGAGTGTCTACTTTGGAACAATACTTTGCACATTATAGGAGCTCAGTACATGCATTTAAATAATTTAATGGACTGCTTAGCTATAGTATTAGAATTTATTGGTAATGAAATTTTATCCATTCTTTTCTGGGTCTGATATAAAAAGCGGAGCCTCTACCAGGTTTTAGCCAAGTCCAGTTAAATGGATCCTAGAGACAAATGCTTATTTATTTCTTTTGGGGGAATGCAAATAAGGCTTTTCCGTAAGGCCTTCATTCTGTAAACAAACAGATTGAAATGGTATGTTGCAAAAGGAAGAAGAGAGAGGAGTATTTAGATTACAAATGTACTTCAGAAAAATGTCCAAGCTTGAAAAATAAAAATTTTGTTCTAAGATTTAAGTGCTTCTGTTAGTTTCTTGGGTTTATAATAGTTTAGATTGTTTTTTTCCACAAAAAAGGAGGTTCATTTGGTTCTGCATTTCAAGGATTCAGTAAAACTACATTCTGCTCTATGAAAAAAATGATCCTTAGCAAACATTCTGATCTTCATTGCTCTGATGCCTTGCCTTCAGGCACCTGTCACTTCCAAAATGGCAATTGTCATAGTGGAAAGTAGTTACTGGGAGAAAGAAGAGAAGAGAGGTGTAGAAACCAGCCTAGATCAGATAAGACAAACAATCAGTCAACTTGATATATTTCTCATTCAAAATCTTAGTGTGAAAAGGAAGTAAAGGGAAGTGAGACATCGCCATAAAACATTGTGCAGAGATTAAGTGGGGATACAGTTAAATGCAGCAATTTCTGAACTCCACATTTTTTTCCCACTGTAGCAAAATAAGTCCTTTCCTTTCATTGAAAAAAAAAGGCCCATTCCACAAACTTTTTGACCTTTCTGTAATTAATTACCTAATCTCATGTCTGCCTGCTGTGAATTAATAACTTTGAAAAGGGGCAGATGTGTAATCATGTTCACTTAGAATATTCAGTGTTGAACTGTATAAATGAACTTTAAACTTTTTTTTTTAAGATTCTATTTATTTATTTGACAGACGAAGATCACAAGTAGGCAGAGAGGCAGGCAGAGAGAGAGAGGAGGAAGCAGCCTCTCCGCTGAGCAAAGAGCCCAATGTGGGGCTCGATCCCAGGACCCTGGGATCATGACCTGAGACGAAGGCAGAGGCTTTAACCCACTGAGCCACCCAGGCGCTCCTATAAATGAACTTTTAAAAAAGTAATCAACTCCTATTACAGGAATTCTCTTATTATCTAGAAGTCTCAGCAGTTTCAAAAACTTTGGATATAATTGCAATGTAGGAAGCAATTGAAACGAAACCTAGAATCAGCCAAACCAGCCTTCAGAAATCCCAAACACTAGAGAGAGGCAGAAAGGAAGGGTGAAGGCAAAATTCCCTCAGAAATTTCTAGGAGACTTCACCTTGCAAGTAACTGATCGTGACCTTGCAAGGCCTGTGGGAAACTGTAGTATTTTTAGCTACCAGTTTGCTGTTCCCAATATACCTAGGATTCAGTTTGTAAGGAAAAAAAGGAGGGTGGACATTGAGTGGGAGGTCTGGCAATCCAAAGACTGTGGTGGTCGCTGCAGTCTTTTGAGAACTTCTGGCCTGGATGTGATCTCACTGAGTGCCAGCCTCTGAGACTCCACCTTGGGTCCTCTGAATGTAGCACTCTTAATGACGTGCAGGGGGAAAAAAAAATGCTGCATTAGTGGGACTGTTTGCAAAGGCCAGCCAAAAGCTGGGATCTTATCTTTGCTGAAGCATATGGCATTCCTGTCGTGACAAGTGTCCTTTTAGTGAATTGCAATAAATCTCTCCTTGTTGAGTTGACAGGAGGTTGGGATGGTGCCTTTTGCTCTGCCAAACCCCTATTGGAGAAGGTAAACCCTGCTGTGGTCTGGAATAGGACAAAGAGGGAGCCCCAAGATCTGGAAATAATCCCTTAGCAACCAGGGACATGTTTGGAGGGGGGAAATCATGCTGATGAAGCAAGACCACTGCAGGGGCAAAGAAGGAACATTAGGGCTCCTCCACACCCCCAATCCTGACTGGCAGTAGCCTTAAGTCGTGGAGAGAAAGTCTTCCAATGTATTGTTGCCTGCACAGGTAAAACCTGGCTATACCAAGCCACATCTGCAAAGAATGAGGCTTAATCCCATTTTGCATTTCCAGTGTAAACCCAGGGCTGGAAGTGCAGGCAGGCTTATGACCTGATTTGCCTTAGAACTTTAGCAATGACTCACAGCCAAAGTCCTCTGGCTCCCAAATACACAGGGATAGTCACAGTATGGCTTGTTCCAGCATCTGTGGGGATGCAGTTGCCAAATTTACCCAAATTTTTGTAAACGGAGTCAGGGAGGGGTGATGATGTCTCACATCTTTCTTTTAAGTTAAAATGTCTTTTTTCCAGGCTCCCTGGTTGGCACGCAGACATTTATTTTGCCTTCCCCTTGCTATTAAAATTATACTCGTGAAACATTGAAGAACAATACTTTTCTCAGTGCTTAAATAAAATGACATGTAGATAATAAATATAAAAGATGTGGATATTTAATGATAATAGTAATTACTAATATCGATTGAAAACTTCCTTGTTCTAAGTACAGTTTGACATGTATTATCACATTTACCTTACAAAAATCTTATGGGGTGGACAGTAAGATTACCCCATATTATTAAAGAAAGTAAGGACGTGAGAGGTTGTACAGCTAGCAAGAGGTGTCCCAGGATTTGAATCCTGGCAACCTGACTCCAGAATTATGCTCCTTAGCTCTTCTGAGAGTGCGTATATTAATAATAAAAAATAATAGCTCACGATATTGACAACATTATGAACAACAAGCTGAATGATTCATTCATTCATCCAGAAAATACATGTTGAATACTAACGTTGTACTAGCTACTGTCATTTGTGGGCAATGTAGACAGAGTTCTAGATCTTACAGTGCTAACAATCCAGTAAACTAGGCAGGATTATCTTATGCCAGCAGGTTATTCAATAAGAAGCTAAAATGCAGCTTTGCAGATGACAAGTATTTGTCAAAAACAAACAAACAAACAAACAAACAAAAAACCAACAACCAAACCAATGTGGGTGTGATTTGAAAATGATCAAACTTTAGCTTGGATCATAAACACTTGCGCACAGTTATTTGTAATGCTGTCCCAGGATGTCTCAATCATGGCCAGATTCTTGTGAACAAAACGTCTAGAATGGAAGGACATGCTTAATAAGAACTTTCTGCTAACCGCTGATGTGCTGGGAAGGCATCGTCAGACACCACACAGACATGAATTGAGAAATGACTGGTTGAACAGGCCTTTCCAGATCTTATATAAAAACCTCTGAAAATGAAAATTCTGGAGGGTCATTCCATTGAAACCAGCACTGACCCTCCTTGTGGGCTTTCTTCCCATTAGGGGCGTGTACTCAGTTCCCTTCCAGTGGTATGGCCTCATACTGCTGGGGGCTGGTGGGAGAACTGCTAGGTGTGAGTACGAATAAGACCTTAGGTATCATGATACTATTCAAAATAATAACATTTTGTGGATGATTTGTTGTCATTTTTAAAAAAGATTTTGTTTATTTATTTATTTGACAGAGAGAGACACGCACAGTGAGAGAGGGAACACAAACAGGAGGAGTGGGAGAGGGAGAAGAAGGCTTCCTGCAAAATAGGGAGCCTGATGCAGGGCTCGATACCAGGACCCTGGGATCATGACCTGAGCCGAAGGCAGAGGCCCAGTGACTGAGCCACCTAGGAGCCCTGATTTGTTGTCATTTTAATTTTAATTTTTAAAATTTTTTTTTCAAAGATTTTATTTATTTATTTGATAGAGATCACAAGTAGTCAGAGTCAGGCAGAGACAGAGAGAGAGGAAGGGAAGCAAGCTCCCCGCTGAGCACTGTTGTGATGCGGCGCTTGATCCCAGGACCCGGAGATCATGACCTGAGCTGAAAGCAGAGGCTTAACCCACAGAGCCACCCAGGTGCCACTGTTGTCATTTTTTAAAAAGCTTTTATTTATGAGAAAGAGAGCACAAGCATGAGCAGGAGCATGAGTGGGAGGAGGGGCAGAAGGAGAGGGACAAGCAGACTCCCCACTCAGTGGGAAGCCCAACACAGGGCTTGATCCCAGGACCTGGAGATCAAGACCCAAGCTGAAGTCAGATGCTTAACCAACTGAGCCACCTAGGCGCCCCTTCATTGTTGTTTTCAAGACTTTATGTATCTCCATGGGGCACCTGGGTGGCTCAGTGGGTTAAGCCTCTGCCTTTGGCTCGGGTCATGATCTCAGGGTCCTGGGATCGAGCCTGGAATCGAATCAGACTCTCTGCTTAGCGGGGAGCCTCCTTCCCGCTCTCTGCCTGCCTCTCTGC